CTAAAATCACGCCTCAAGCCATATTCTACATGACCGCTTCATAGAGGAACGAAAATGTATTAAAGAACCTTAAGACGATAACTCGACTCTCATCAACCAACAGGTTACTTAAAAATGTACTACGTTGCAATTAACTCCACATATCTTCATGATTTGGTAACCATTTTGAACTATGACGTAGGTAGCGCGGACCTATTGAAAACATTGCAAGTACATCATACAGCCGTTCGCACGTTGAGTGGTACTCGTACGCTTTACTACTAGTAAACTGTCCCACAGACACGTTATAAATAAGACACGGACAGGGAAAAGCAATAATACCTGGGGAGGCGGTTACGTTTCGACCGGACTGCCTGGTAGTACTACCACTTGCCGACGTGACGTTTTCAGCAGCTTCTGTTGTGGCATTGCCTGCCGTCGACATGGTGACATTCTCACCAGCCTCCGTTGTCGCATTCTCTTCTGTCGACATGGTGACATTCTCTCCAGCCTCCGTTGTTGCATTTTCCTCTGTCGACATGGTGACATTCTCACCAACCTCCGTTGTTGCATTTTCCTCTGTCGACATTGTGATATTCTCACCAGCCTCCGTTGTTGCATTTTCCTCTGTCGACATTGTGACATTCTCGCCAGCCTCAGTTGTAGCATTTTCCTCTGTCGACATGGTGACATTCTCACCAGCCTCAGTTGTAGCATTTTCCTCTGTCGACATGGTGACATTCTCACCAGTTTCTGTTGTTTCCGTTGTGGTGTTTTCTGCAGTCTCCGTGGAAGTACTGAGTTCCGTTGACATTGTGATGTTTTCACCCTCTTCCGTTGTAGCATTGCCTACCGTAGACATGGTGACATTTTCGCCAGCTTCTGTTGAGGTCACATTTTCCGTGGTTTCTGTGACATTGTCGGTCGTAGGACTCGTGACGTTTTCTCCAGCAATCGTTGTCTCGTTCCCTGGAGCAATAGTAGTTTCTTCATTGTCATTACATTCAGCAACATTTTCGATATTTTCACACAGTTCGGTCTCAGGATCGAACGCCTCATCTTCAGCACAGTATTTAACGGTCGTCAGTTCATCAGTGCACTCAAAGTACGAGTTGCTGCAGAACATCATTGGATTTGGATACGGACCATCTTCAAGACCGGTGCAGTCAAATGAGTCTAAAATTCTACATTTAACAAACTCTGGCCCTCAGGTCAAAACTTACTTCCAGGTACTGCTGGAGTAGTTGTTTCATTGCTTATGCATGCTGTTATATTGTTGTAAACGTTGCAACGGAAGGTTTCGGGGTCGTAGTAGAGATTCTCAGGGCATTGGAAGAAATGTGATAAACCGTTCGAACATATGAAGAAATATGTGGAGCAATCATTGTGAGGACTTGGGTAAATTCCATTCGACAGATTGGTGCAGTTCAGAGAAAGACCTGAAATAATAAACGAATGTGTAACAAGAAAACAAGAAATACGAAGCATAAGTGAACCTGAAATAATGCACATAACGCACTTCTTCATGTTTTGGCTAAATTCCCTAGCTACAGCAATTTAATTGCCCTCAGATTCGGCGAAAAACTGTGACACGTGTGATGAGGGCAACTGTAAGAGACTAGAAGTGAATATTTACACCGACAAAAATGTAAACCCCGTGCACACTGACCCTGATATTCCGTGATCAACTGTCACAAGGCAATTTCGATATCGTCGTTCTGAATAACTAACTTGAACAAACAATAAATTCATATAGCTTAAGCTGATTTACACGAAAATTGTTCTCCTTTCTTTGATGCTTGTTGCCTAAATGATTGCTTAAACCGCATATCTTACTGGAATTAAAACATCTTCATTCGCCATGCTGAGTGCGTACTGACTTCAAGGAAAATGCATAAATTCACCGATTTATACATAATAAACGCAGATCCTGATATTCCAATGTCAGCCATCTCAACGGTGGCAATGGAGTCACGGCCTCAATGACACCAATTTCGCGATATATAGCAACTAATCTTACCAGGAAAAGTTTCGACAGCTTTTCAGATGCTGCCAATCTTTGTCTTCGAATTTTAATTACTTATTACAGAAACTACATGATTCATGGAATCGAGCATTAACGGACAATGGGGTTATCTGGCAAACAGTAATTTTATGTATTTTTGTATTTCATGTGCCTAAGCATTTTTTTACACTGCCACTTATGGTGCTGTTTTGGAACTTATGTAACAGCCCGTGTTCCGCATGAGGTAAAATATGTCGGCGTATATGAAAAGCTGGCAGTCTGCTTGTAAACCCATTATCGCAGGATTAATTTTCTTCACTTGGAAAATTTTGCTGGCTAATAGATAGTCATACTACAGTGCAACACAAATATGATTTATTAAAACACGGGATTAGTGACTAGAATCAGTTGATAAATCGCCATTGACGTTTCAACGTAAAAGTGGTGATGGCATATGTTTGCTCTGAGAGTCAGCTGATCAAGACTCCTCAGTGGCAACTAAATGCCACGAGGATCTCGAAGAAGGCTCATTAGATACGGGGATTAAATGTCGGTAATGATCCATCTTTCAATCAACCAATTGGTTTCGTTGTATTTTAATAAATCTTGTTTGAGTCGTTTATCATTACGGTTTTAAGCAATTTTTTGATTACGACGAAATGGGCACAATACAGAGTATTGCAGTACCAGATCGGTAACCACAGGAATCAGAATGTTTCCGTTTCAGATCATTGGTTAGCTCGTTAGGAAATGCACCTCATTATGATTTTTGGAATTAAAGCGAATCGCTCAGAAATGTTATGTCTTTGCCAGCAAATGTCCTGCTAAATCATCAGTAATTGAACACTAAACTGTTCTCAAAATGAGGGATCTTGTGTTCATGTTCTCGCCAGCTTCAAAATCATGTATGAAAGTTAGTTTTGAATTAACAAAGTTTTTTGATTTGAATACTAGATCAGGTTACTATGTAGGCACATTCAAAAAATATACCTCGTGTAGCGTTGTTGCAAACGGCGATGCTTTCGAAACTTTTGCATTCGTCAGTTTCAGGATC